CCTGCACCATTCTTCCACATCTCGCCTCATACCTATCCAGTAAAATCTTTGTCGTAGATGACTCAATGTTTTCTTAATTCCGAGATGTCCTCCTGTTAAAGTATCATGGGATTGATGCAGCACAACTTCCCTTAACTTTCTCGATATAACCGTTTGCCAAGTCGTCAATTTCTCATCTGTAGTTTCCCATCTCTGGACAAGAATACCATCTTCAAGCTTTAATTGGTCCCATTGTGCCCAATAGTGCTTTGTCACAGGGCTTAGACTAGACATCTTCTCCCAAGCAGGGCGCACAACACTTGCTTTTAAAAAATCAGTTATTGGCTTCAAATCTTGATCTTTCTCCTGCTCTGCTTTGATATCTATACCTGGTTTCACTTCGTCATCATCAACTTCTTCAGCACTTTGACTTCACCTTGATGGCACCTAATTAGTTCAACCTCTCTCTTTTAACAGTTACCGGAACTTGGCCTTTGTTGTTCCTAAACGTCATTTTATCACAATCAATTACAAACTTCCTCGGTAGTAGATAATCCAATCCTAATATGCATTCGTCTTCAATGTCAGCCAAGTATACTTTCTGTCTGTTCTTCATGCCCATGAGCTCGATAGTTACCCACACTGGTCTCCACAATCTTGTAGAATGTCCTGTCACACCATAAAGCTTCTGTATGGCTTCTGGTACTCTTTCGTGATCTAACACCTTGATGCCCACAAGGGTTTGCTGAGACGCAGAATCTATGACAAAGTTGCACCTTTGGCCATCCAGCTTTCCTGTCACATAGACGCTGTGTGTGCTTGGCATTTTACACCTAGCTGTAGGGACTTTCATGATGGGGGTTGGTGAGTGTCCCTCAACACCAACCACTACTGGTCTCCTTGAGGCTGACTTGTTGGTAATATTCTTCCTACACTGGTTCCTCAAATGTCCGTGCTTTCCACAGTTCCAACAACATTTCTGGATACCAACCTTTCCTGCTGTTGCATCTCCCCTGTGTTGAAGTTGCCAACATTGAGCTCTCTTGTGCCCAGGTTTGTTACAGTGCCAGCAAAGTCCCTCAAACCTCTTTGAAAGCTGACCTTTTTTGGCCTTGAATCCAGATGACTGTACCAACCTCGGTACCTCTGTGCTGGACTTAACGTAGGATTCAAATTCGAGAGCTCTGGCCATTGCATCCTGCATGGTAGAGGGGTGTGCTTGCTTCACTTGTATCTTCAGTTGTGGACTGTCCAAGGCACCTACGAACTGATCCCTCAGCAACAACTTGAGGAGATCGGGTGGTGCAGTTGGTCAGGCCCTGTATGCCATGCTTTTCCAAGTCCCGTGCTAGCTCTTGCAGGCTTTCCCCTCCAGCACGGACTCTCGTCCTGAACCTAGTCCTGTAGACTTCTGACTGATTTTGGGTTCCGTACCTGAGTTCTAGAACCGACACCAGTGCTCTACAGTTGTGCCTGTCGTCTGCTGACAACCGTCCAAGTATTTCCAGTGGTTGTCCTTTCAAGCTCGTTGCCAGATATACTGCTTTCTTCTCCTCTGTCCATCCGTTCATCTCTGCAAGTAGCTCAAACTGTGCTCTATATGCACCCATCGCATTCCTGTGGCTTCCTTCGTACTGGATCACTCCTAGTACTGACATTCATATCTGGGATGTGACTTCTAACGGGACTGAATATGTCTGCATTAGGGTTTAGCTGCAGGGTCTGGATAGGGCTTGTCATTGTTTGGGGCTGGTTAAGTCGATGGTTAATGTATCCTCCTTGTGTAAAAGACAATAAATCGTCCTTTAACGTATCTAATTCGCTTTTAAATTTACTAATGTTTTCCGTTTGTACTTCTTGTTTCCTTTCTTGTTCCAGTTGACACTGCTGTAGTCCCTCTTCCCGTTTCTTCTCTTTTTCCTCCAACAACTGCTGTAATTTCTCTTCTTGTTTATTTTCTTTCTCCTCCAATAGCTGTTGTAATCTCTCTTCTTGTTTATTTTGCTATTCGAGCTGCCACTGTTGCAAGTTTTCTTGCCACTGCTGTAATCTCTCTTCTTGTTTATTTTGCTGTTCGAGCTGCCACTGTTGCAGGTTTTCTTGCAACTGCTGTAATCTCTCTTCTTGTTTCTTTTCTCGTTCTTCTTGTTTATTCTCTCGTTCTTCTTGTTTCTTTTCTTTTTCCTCTAACAACTGTTGTAATTTTTCTTCTCGTTCTTCTTGTTTCTTTTCTTTTTCCTCTAACAACTGTT